TGGTCAGATTAAAAATCTGTTTGCACATGCCACTAGGCTCCTGGGACATTAAGCCTTTTTTAAAAATAATTGCTCCCTTTTTAAATGAATTTTCTCATTTCTTCTCTATTGAGCTGTGGCTGAGAGGTTCCAGAAAGCAACAGAGTACAGAAGGCTGCTGAAATCTCTGCTCCCGGCCATTCAAAAGCTTATGCTGTGCTTAATTTTCGGCAGCTGCATCCTCCCACAGGCACCAGTGGGACTTGTGAGGTGCCCGAGGTGCCGGATGGATGGGAACCAGAGCTCTGAGCAGCCTCAAGCCCAAATCAAAAATCTGTGGGTCAGGCTCTGCTGCTGCCATGGTCTTCATCATCTCAGCACCATGTGGGTCCATGCTGTGGGGTCCCCATGGGCTGCACCAGCCTCTCCTTTTTGGCCTGCACACCTATATTTTAGCCAAATACTGCCCAAAACCGAATGATGTCCCACGAGCTATCTTCACCTCATTGACTGCATTGTGGTGCTGTAGTGACAAGGGCTCAGTGCAGCCAAAAGATTTCTGCAAGTAGCTCCCAGCAAAGGCAGCCGGGTACTAGTGGATGTCCATGGCTGTGGTTTGGCTGAAGGTGTTTGCTCCATGCTGCACACACAGACAATTCGGATTAAATTCCCTCGATCAACTGATTTAACAGAGAATAGGTGCAACCTCAGCTGTAATTTTTAGACGACAGATATTGGTCAAAATATGTCTAGAGCAAACTTTATTGCCAAATGAGGAGGTAAGTAGCCAGTCCTGTGACATGGGTGAAGGGGGTTTGGCTTCAATGCCTGGATTGTGTAAAAAAAAATTAAAAGAGATAAAGAAAAAAAAAAAGAAAATAATTGAATATATATTCCCAAACACTTCATTTTTATCTCATTTGAGCCGTTTGACCTTTTGATGTCTGCTTCTGGCCCGAGGGTGACATATTACACCTCTTTGCATGCACTGTTAGCATGAAGCATAATGAAGCATGAGAAAACCTGCACTGTGGCTGATGCAAGGCTTTACATTTTTTTTGTATCATTAGAAAGAAGGAAAGATATCAAAGTTCACTTTAAAGAGCAACCCTCTTTCTCTGTCCCTCCCAAACTAAAACCCAGCAGAGCCTATCAAGGACAGCAGATGGCACAGTTTGTCATGCATCGTTAGAAATCTCTGGATCCTCTTCTGCCATGAAGGGAAAAATACGAGGCTGATTCTTCCAAAGCCTCAGCTGAATTCGTCCCTCCACACGTGTATTCACCACAGCCAAGATAAGCGTTGGGAAGGCACAAGGCTCCCCGCAGGATGTAGTGTGGACATGGGGTTTGGCATCTCAGAAGATTCACAGTCCCTTGTCACGCAGTAGACACATACACTATCCCACTCTGCTTGTAAAGGTAGAATATGTTCTCTCTTCTTCATCTTTTGAGCTTTGCTGCCTAGTTTGGACAAAACCTCAAACTCTTTCATAATGGCTAAAAGGTCCTTCTGTTCTTTGCAGTGCTGAGCTAAGCACAGGTGGGTTGGGAGCTCATGAGGAAATTCCTCTCTTTTGTATCACACAAGGCACAAATGAAATCTCTGTGCTTTGCTGAGGGTACGAGCACTTTTCCCTGGTCTAACTTCTGCCATGGAAAGCAAAGGGGTGGGAGATCTCAAGCCTGGTTTCTCCCATCAAGCGAGAAGGACTTGGTTGACCTCCTTCTCCCCTCTCTGCACTGAAGTCAGTGGCCCACAGCTGCCCATCGCACCATCCTTGGTGCATACCCTGCCTCCAACGTGAGATCTGGCTCTCTGGTTTCTCAGAGCTGTGGAAGATGGCCACCTCCGGAGTCAGGACTATGTTAAAGTATAGACACAAAGGGAATTAGTCAAGTAGGAATTCTCCTGGGCTCTGGTATCAATGGTATATGGGCAAGGGCTTCTGCTTTATGAGTGAGCTCTATGAGGTGCTTCAGTCCTCCTTTTAAATCACAGCAGGTCTACAGGCATATCCAGCCTGAAGGTGATGGAAGAAGTCAGTGCTTTTCTATATGAAACTAGTGATCACTCCATCTGTGAAGTGCCAGCTGGCCTCCTGTGCTTCACATGTGTCATGGGAGGTTCATTTAATGTATAACTATTCTCTTAAGGACATGGAAGAGAGAAGTCCTTCCTCGAACTCTGTAAGATTAGAAATAAGGTTGCACAAGACTATCTCTACTATTATGATACTCCGTAGCATGCCAATGTTCAGTTTTCCTCTCTGTGTTACAGTCTGTCCTGCCTCCCTGCTCTACTCAGCAACTGTTGAAGGACATCTCATTGCCATTAGTGGACACATTTCAGTGTTAGTGCTGTGCTAGATGGGACACGAGGACAGAACACCCTGATTGTTCTTGGCCTTCCGCAATATTCATTAGCATTTAGACTCTGGGCCTCTTTAAACGCATGTTCATTGTTTTACTAGTCTACTTGCTTGTGCATACAGGAGAGGAGTTCGTACAGTGGCTGTACTACGCCTTGACTTGTGATTCCAAACCAAGGTAGCCCGAGGTATCCAATTTAATACCTCTTTGCTTACATGGTAACAACATTGTCGTAGGATTTCTTGTGCTGTATGTTATGTCAGTAATTGCATCCCTTGTGGGGAGTTCCTGTACATGTCAATAATTTGCTTCTCCCATTACAAGAGAGAAATAAGGCATGCATATTCCTCACACTTGTAATTATGGCACTTGGTGCTCCTTGTACTCCTGTGCTTATATTGCTAAGCAAAGGATCAAACGTGACTTTTTAAACAGAACGGTATTCTGTCGCATCACTGCCCAAATGAAGTATCTTCTGGGATCAAAGATATACTCTAAAATAATTGTTGGCTTACATGTTCTGTCTTTGGTGTGATGTGCTCATCCACTTCATCTCTTTGAGCCAGATCTTCTGGTGCTGTAAACTGCTGTAGCTCTAATATAAGCCAAGGGAGCCACGCTGGTCCATACCCACTGATATCTGTCCCTTAATGTCAACAGCCAACATACATACATGACAAGTCCCTGTCAAATATAAAGAAAACAGATGGCTCTTGTGTTGGAAATAGCCTCACATCTCATTCCTTTCCTTGGTTTTTGTTTGTTTGTTTATTTTCCCCTGTCTGTCTGTGTTCAGCTCCTTCCTTTTCCTCCTCCTGGTGCATGGACCCATGGCCCACACGGCAGAACTGCGTAAGAAGCATTTTGAGTTTTCTGCTCAAGATACCTCAACTTGGTTTCAGTCAGATTAATTAACCCTTCTTTTCCCCTGCCACCCTTACGTTTGGTGCATTATGCAAGAGTAAAGTTTGCCTGGCGTAGAATTAGGTTATAAACCAGGCTGCCATTAAGAAGCTATTCCAAAACTCAGTTGCTCCCCTGACTTCTGAGGGATCAAGAAGCTCTGGTGTTTACTTTCTAGAAAATTTATATTTGATGCCTCAAATAAAATTGACTTCCAGCTTCCAAACTGGCTCTGCCCTCCTTCCTGTGCATACAGAACTGTATATCAACCCCGGTGTTTCTGTACTGGGAATGAGGAGTTGCAAATGTAACGTGTGTAAAGAAGTTATTACCAAACAACATGCCCGGTAGCTTTAGCTGCTGATTTGGCAGGAGTGTCCTCTGCTGTTACGGGTTTGGAGCCCTGCTAATAGGAAACATCTAATGATACAGGTGTGAATTGCAGTAGCATTGAGATGAAGACAATTTGGTAATCTTTGGTGAGTTATGACCAAATTCAGCCTTGATGTAATTCCACTAAAACAGTAAGCACTACACCTGTTTGTCTGGATCTTAGGATAAGTGGCTCATTTTCACGGACGTGAAAATTACACACTTACATTTGCATTGAGGAGAGGAGAGGAAACTGCTGCAAAGACTGAAAAAAAATCCCATTGACATATGCTAAACAGAAAACTTGATCTTCCCCCAAAATAATGATTTCTCAGGACAAATAAGAAGTTAATTGACTTGGAAGAAAGCCAGTTAAAGAAATTCTTTGCAGTGGGTAAATTTACTGTGCATAATGTGCCAGGTTTTATCTGTATAAACAGAAATGGATAATTTCAAACTCTGCTAATACTGCTCTGAATTTTGCATCTGAATTAACACATCAGTGCCACTGCGTGTCTGTGAGTAATTTGGAGTGTTAGTTGGGAGAGAGGCTGTTGCTTTGTCCCACGGAGGCGCGACAAGCGGAGCCCTCCTCGCCTGCTGCCTCCAACTGACTCCATGTCCTTTTCCGGGGGGCGGGGGAATTTTCTGATCCCGGTAGAGTTGACCAGATCGTTGGGAGAGGATCCTCCATGACCGACAAGGACCGAACCAAAGGGCCAGCGGAGGGGGAGCTGCCTGAAGACCCTAGTATGATGGGCAGGCTTGGAAAAGTTGAAAAACAGGTATATTGGGTCAGGAGGGAGTTCTTATCAGAGCGTGTTGCATGCATTGTGTTGGTTTTTTATTGCCTTGTTTTTCCCCTGGGGGTCATTACCATTTAGAAAAAAAAATAAGAGCTAAGAATATTTTGACAAAGAAACAGGGTAGACATTATGAAAGGACACTAAATGTCTTGGAAGTACTTTCAAAACAGGCACTTTGGAGTGTGTGACAAACACACTTTCTTTTTTGGTGAGTCTACCTAAAGTCTACATTATTTTTGAAAATTGCACATTGGTTTCTTTGCCACCATACTAGACATGTTTCAAATGAGCCCATGAGCCTGGCTGCTGTAGCTGGTGGCCTCACCAAAGACAAAAATCTTCCTAGAAGATAAGGCTCAGAAATCCCCATGGCCATCTGCGCCCAGGCAAGTGCCAAATGCAGTAAGGAGCTGAAAGCCACTGGAAGGATGTGAGTGTTCTCCAGCTTTCCCGGAATTTGATGCATGTCAAAAAGATTATAGGAGTTTAAGGAAAACCCCACAAAAAGGTGGAACATTAAGGGGTTTTTTTTCAGAATAGGACAATTAAATATTTACTAAAAGTTTCAGTTTGGTGTAGGTCAGTGTAGGCAGACGTCATCTATGAAGCCCAGGCCCACACTTATGCCTAGGTGGGTTGGAAGTTACTTGTACTCAGGATGTTAATTTGCTTCAGCTTGTGTGCAGTGTGTAGCACTGTAACTGTGGTGTTTTGCAGGTTCAGTCAATGGAGAAGAAGCTGGACTTCCTGGTGAACATTTACATGCAGCGGATGGGCATCCCACCAACAGAGACGGAGGCTTATTTTGGGTCCAAAGAACCAGACCCAGCACCTCCCTACCACAGCCCCGAAGACAGCAGGGAACACATTGACAAGAACGGCTGCATCATCAAGATCATCAGGTCCACCAGCTCCATGGGTCAGAAGAACTTCTCTGCCCCACCAGCCCCGACCAACACATGCCCGCCCTCAACATCATGCCAGCAGCAGGTCTACCAGCGGCAAAGCCATGGCTCCTCGCCCGTCGGAGACCCCGGCTCGCTGGTCCGCATCCCACCTCCGCCCTCCCACGAGCGCTCCTTGTCAGCGTACAGCGGTGGGCACAGGGCGAGCGCAGAGTACCTGAGGAACGAAGACATTACAACCAAACACCACGAGAGTGCCATGAGAGACAGCGACACGTCCATCTCCATCCCCTCGGTAGACCATGAGGAACTGGAGCGCTCTTTCAGTGGCTTTAGCATCTCTCAGTCCAAAGAGAATTTGGACATCCTTAACAACGGTTGCTATGCAGCCGTGGCCAAAATCAGACCCTACATTGCAGAAGGGGAATCAGACACTGATTCTGACCTCTGCACGCCCTGCGGTCCTCCTCCCAGGTCAGCCACGGGCGAGGGACCCTTCAGTGACATGGGCTGGTCAGCCCCCAGGCAGTGAAGCCTTCTCGCAGCTGCCGAGCCACGTCCAAGCGTTGGCAGCTGCCTGCTCCAGCTGTCCACACGTTGAACTTCTCAAGGAGATTGACAGCTAAGGTTTTCCTCCATCTAGGACATCCTTAGCTGGAGGATACTTTCTTGCAGCTTACTCTGGGGGGGGGTGGAATGAGCAGGTCCAAGCCTGCATTTATGGAAGAGGTCACAGTGGTGAGCAAACTGGAGCCGTGAAGTCCAGATTTCTTTCATACTCTCTTTCTAAGATCATTAGGTGAAATTATTTCATGGTGCAGGGTAGGTAATTTGCATTTCTTGGGAATCTTGAGAAGTGCAGGGCAGGAATAAATCACCTGGCCAGGGCTTTTGGAGGTCACAGTGACTGGTGACTGACAAGTGTTACGTGGGCATTGCCACACCATGGCACCGGTGATTACACCGTTAGGTGTTCTGGAGTCACGGAATGAACACATGTCTGTCTCTGGCTTAGATTTCAGGTCACGTGTAATTACGGGGGGGGTGTTAATTACTCTGGTTCCTCATGAACTGTCAGGAAGGTGGCATAATTCCAATATAATACATGGAAATGTTCCGTAGGCCCCTGGGGGAAAGGGATGGTGGCTGGAATATTTGCATGAACAGAAGACATGGCCTCAAAGTGGGACAGGTTAGGATACTGCTCTGAACCAGAATGGTTTGGAAATTATCCCATGTTAGGAAATTGAAAAACCGAGAAATATGAGCTTGAGTGCAAGAAGAGAAACAACCCAGAGGGCAGAGAAATGAAACAGAGAAGGAGGACAAGAGACTGTAGGGCTGAAATTTTATGTTTTAAACCATGTATTATATTTAATTATCTCTCCTTCTGTTGACAACGGGCCTGGAGATGCTTTGGAAGCAAAGGCAAACCAAAGCAACCCCTCCAGAGGGCTGTTATGGTGTGAAGCCGTTCTCGTGGCCAACAGTGCTGCTGTGGAGTCACAGCCACACCAGGCCAAAGGGAGAGGGTGGATATGCAACATGCTGTGGTCCCCGTGTTGCTGCGAGTTAAGTGCTGAGCTCCGTCCTTTTGCAGCCCTGTTGGTCAGAGTGGGCACTTTTCTTACAGTTTGCATCGTGCCTGAACACTTTTGCACACACTATGCCCTGTGAAAATCTTCCCTTTCTTCTTCTACCCTGCCAAGAATCTCACACCCATGTTCCCAGGACATCCTTTGGGGTTTTTTTGGATCCCTCAAGCTGAGTTAAGAGGTGATTCTTTTCTTCATGGTCTTTCAGAAGCCTCTTACCTGTGCTTGCCCGCAAGTTGTGCCAATCCAAGTCTGACCCATTTCGTTGTTGTTAAAGTACTTTCTCTTGGAAGGATCTTTGTGTCATTACCGGGACCTCAGCAGCGCATTCAAGCTGGGGGAAAGCAAGGGGAAAAGTGATGCTCAAAGTTTCTTTTGGGACCAAAATGAAGTCACAAAGTGATCCTTTACATGGATAGGTTGTTTGATTTTTTGTTGCAAGGGGGTGGATCAGGAAAAGTGTGTTTGGGATCCATCTCCAGAGTTGGGACACCATGGCTGGTGTTGTGCCTCTGAACCCTCCCATGCATCTACAGCCCAAATCCTGTACGTGTTTTCTGCTGGGGCTGTCTGTGATTTCAAACTCTGTCTCTCCACATTTTCACATTTTCCCTGTGTTGTATCAAGAGCCCGTTAAGGATATTTAGGTGACAACTTCATTTCTGTGTGGCCTTCGAGAGGTTGAACATCGACTTGCTTGGGGTGAAGTGGCAGTCATGGCCTTTTTCTCTCCTCCTGTTTGCTTGACCAGAGGCAGCAACCAGGAGAGACCCAGGACTATTTTGGCCTTAGGGAAGATGTGGGTGCAGTCTGAGAGCTTGCAGATAGGAAATAAAACCATTCTTTTGCTAGTGCTCAGGACCAACACGAGGTCTTCACATGGGATTGAGGAGTGAGGAATGGCTCTGCACAATTTTTTCCTGCCATTTTTCACCATTCAGGAGAGGAAAACATTTTTCTTAAAGGGAATGTAAGCTTCCAACCACGCTGATTCCTTTCTTTCCCATTTGATCAATTTTTTTTTATTACCTCCCACAATTTTCCCTCTCTGCTTGTGCTCCCAAACTCCTTTTGGCTCCAGATTTCTTTGTGGAAAGTGAATCCAGTGACACCCTTGACTTTGATTCAGAGAAATCTTTGAGTGCAAAATGGCTGCAAATTGTGCAGACTTGCCCCTGGCATGTTGCAAAACAAGATGCCTTTGGGTAGAGAAAGAAATGTCAGCAGGTCCCAAATCAGACTTGGCATGTGTTTTCTAGTGACTACAAGAATGGAAATTGCAGTGGGTGAGTCAAAACCTGACATTGCTTCAGCCAGCTGTCCGCTGCAAATTTTGTCCAAGTCAGAGATAACAAGGATTTATTGTCTTATTTGTTTGCAATTGCTTTTCAAGGCCTGCTGGAAATTTGGCACAGAAGGGTGTGATACAAAGGCAGGAACTCCAGATGAAGATGATGTCATGTGGTCCTATTGCAGCACAGGTACATGACTGGTCTTCAGTATAGGAAGCAAAGTCAACAGGACTTCAAGGCACAATTTTTTGCAGGATGTAATTTTTATCATGTCTTAATTTTGAAGCCCTATTAGTTCTATTTTCAATGTCCATTTCCTAGTTCTTATTGCAAAAATCCCTTTCTCCTGGCCAGATGATGTTACACCCATGAAAGCAGATACTGCCAGTGTGTCTCGAGGAGAAGCAGTTCCACTGTGTCCTCTTGAGTTTTCCGCAGGTTGAAATCTGCAGTCTTTTACCTCCTTTATGGACTGCATAGGAAGAACTGTGTTTTCCCTCTTCGAGTTACTGCATTAGAGTTTGTAAAGATGTTCTGACTTGTAGCTTTAAAAGGTGTTGGATTTGTCCCACAATCACTGATTACAGAATATTGGTTTTTTATATATGCAGCACAGATTATATCTTGCTGCTACAAATTTCACATAGAATTTTTTTTTTTTGGAAGGTGTAAAAAATATTCCACCTTTATCTGTGGCATCATTTCAAAGAAATTCTGACACATGCCTCCATCCACATGCCATAAATCATCACTTCTCATTCATCCAGGCAAAAAGACCTGGATTTTTGGGTTAACTTGCACCAGAATTATCTTCAAATGCTCCTTATTTCCATGAAATGACTTATGCCTACATAAGAGATAACAGAGCCTGCTTGTTGCTTATCAATATCAATAATTTCATTCCTGTCCTAAATCATAGTCCAATACTCTCTGCAAAGTCTTCTCTTTCAATCCCTTAATTCCTCCATGCCTGTATCAGACAGTCCTGGTGGTAATCTCACACCAGAAGTCTTAACCACTAGATTAAAAGAAAATAAATGTATTTCGTTTTGCTAATAAGGCAGTCTCAATGATAAAACCTTTAAAAGGATGGACAGGTAAACTTTGTCCCTCTGCTGAGCCTCTCTCGAGCTGGTCTTTGCTCCCCTTTTCCTCCCAAGTCTGGTTCTATATTTTTTGGAGGACAGAAACAAGTTTTAGACAATGCCAAGTGTGGACAGAGGAGACCAAGGAGAACTGAAGAAGATGTGAAAGCCAAATTTCCAGCAGGCCATCCTGAACTGCTCCAGGGGTGCCTGTGCCTACGTGCGGTTCTGTGCACAGAGCCTGGTTTCAAGGTGCATCTGTGCTGAATATGAAGGCATGGCCGTGGTCCCAGGCTCTGGTCTCCAAGAAACTTTACACCTTTTTTTTCTTTTTTTTTTTTTTTTTTCAGAATCTGGGTCTAGGTCTGGAGAGAAATACTGCAAAAGGCCCCGCCTGTGGGATGGAGCAATCCCTGAGACTGGGACCTGAAGCCACAGTCAGTTTTTGGGTGCTTCAGGTCCAAGCGTGAGTTCAAGTTGCCTGAGGAGTTCATGTCTCCGAACAGGAGACGTGGCTGGAGATCTTGCAATCTCTGTGCAGGTGGCCTTCCATAATGTGACCCCAAGACATAGGAACAGATCACTAGCCATATGTCGAAATTCCCAATATTTGGGAAGGGACTTTAATGTTACTCAAGTGCAGATTTTGTATGTGAATTTCCTTGTTGACTCATTTTCTTATAATAATTTTTAAAACAAAAATGTCAAGGAACTCACTGAAAACAAACCTCTTGTCCAGCTCAGAAAGCCATTATATTTCTTTAGACAGACTATGTGATAGATCAGATTTTCTAAAACTGTATTTTGTTTCAAATGCTGCTTAATAGATCCAAATAAATTCTGCAGGATCATTGCTATTTACAGATAAATAGGTATATTTTTACATTTTAATTGATTTTTAAGATTTTAAATTATGTGAATTTTTAGAACAAGTTTGTATAATCTACCTGAGAAGGCAGAGCATCACCTCCGATACAAATGCTCCCCTTCCTAAGTTACCCAAGAGAAAAGAAAACCACATTTACTCATATTTTTCTCAAGAGGGAGCTACTGCAAACCTCATTTCCCTTATGTCCTCAGACCACTACAGTCACAGCAACATTATTGCTAAAAACAAAATGTAAGGATTAATAGAAAAACTGAAATTCCTAAGGAATTTGCCCAAGAATTATCCCATATAAAGACCCTTAGCAGTGAGTATATTATTGGGAATGTTAAAAAGCCCAGGAGCAGGCTAAGGATTTCTGTTTCTCCATCCACGCTCGTGTGAACCATCAGGTTGAGCGAGCCCTGAGCCTCCATCCCTTCCCAGCACGCCTGTGGTCCTCCAACCCACGCCCGCACGCCTGCATCCTCTCTCACCCGCTCTCCATCGTGGGTCAGCACCTTCTGTTTTCATCAGCTTCCTTTTCATGAACCAGAAACAAGGAAATCAGATACAAAAGCTCCTTCACCTGCAAGTAACATTGAGGCTGCGATGCGGAGGGCCGTGGCACAGGGGTGAGGGCAGGAGCCCCCTCCGAGCCCCGTGCGGGTCACTGCTGCTCAGCAGTGTAGAAG